TTATTCTATAGGCTTTATTTTGTGTTTGCTTTTCTTGTAATTCTATTGCCATTATAGTATATTAAGTAAATGAAGAAACAATAATTTTTGTCCCTAACCCTCGACCTAAGCTGTAAATTATCTTGGTCCCCAAGATGTGTCGAAGTCTTCTGGATATTTGGTCTTCTTCGCTGTCTCTGTCATAGCGTACCTTGGTCGTTTTCTACCATATCCTATTCGTTTTCTTTTTCTAGTTTACCTCATCCTTCTTTAACTTCATCCAATGGAGTTAGGAGGGGTAGAGGTAGACCTAGGTTAGATTATTGTTCGCAAATAGTTAAAGATATGGGTTGTTCTAGTTTTAGGGAAATGCGAAGTTTAACTCAGTATTAGAAAGAGTGGAGGTACGTGTCCAACCAGTCTTAGGATGGACGACGTTATGATGATGACTCCTATTTTTGACGTCATCTAGCAATTAGTAGAACATCGATAAGTGGCGGCAAATTTGAAAACTGCAGTGCTATATAAGTTTCCTATTATTTTTATTAAAAAAAAAAACAAAAACATATCCGTCAGGGATCATTGTAGTCGTATTGCTCATACTCAGAATGAAGCGAGTGACGCTAGGTTTAGTGGGGACTGCATATTCTTTATCTGGCTATGGAGTTGTAGTGAATCCTGTTTACTTTTATGGTTATAGAACATCGAATTTCTATGAAGTGGTTGTTAGGGGTTTGTCAAATCTGATAGCAGATTGGGCGACCCCACTAGTCACAAATTTAGTGGTTCTGAGCAGCAGCACATTTGCCGTCCACGACTTCCAAAATATTTGGTTCCCTACCTGCAGCAAATTTTTTTAATATTGGAACACTTCTCAAACTCAAGGAAAAAGTTGGAAAATTAAATTTATTTATAACTAGCGACCCGCCCTGGTTTCTCACGGGTAATCATTTTCCCCGCTAGAGAGCTTCGATAGTAGTACTTCTTTGTAGACCTTTTTAAGGTGTACAGTACTGTAGTACATTATTTTGATCTACCACGTAGGGTACAGCCAGCGTTTGAAAAGCACGCGCAAAAAAATGTGTTTATTTACAACATCACATTAGAAACTAAAATTATGAGTGTTTTTCTATTATATTATGCATGTGTTATACATATAAACCTTCCTATCGAATCACTCTATTAAAAAAACTGCATCAAAATTCGTTACGAAATTTTAATGATTTAAACATACATAGGGACAGACAGGAGGAAGCAACATTGTCTTATACTGTTGTGGTCGGCACCACTCTCTTTCATAGAACCATACAGTGCAATTTTGCATCGTACTACTACAGTTACCTGGCTGGCCGCGCAGACGTCAAACCATCCCAACCCGAACTATTTCACTCACGACCTACCCCACTCACTGCCTCACTCAGCACCCCTTCCAAAACTCACCCTGCGAAATGAAATAAATTAAGCTACCGGCCCTGCTGAAGGCCGTCCTTCGATGATTATATCGCTCAGGCAAAAGCACACCCCCGAAACACTTGGAATGTGATCCGTTCTCTTCGTAACAGAGATCCCCATCTTCCGCCACTAAAACAGAACGGCTCCACCTATTCTTCAACGAAGCAAAAGCTGCAATCTTCGCAGGCTCTTAATGTCTCCAGTGCTCCCCACTACCCAGTCCAGCGAACCTTGCCGACTTTCACGAGCGTACCAAAGCCGTCTCCCAGAACTTCGGAACAAATCGGAAGCAATTTTCTTCTCTTATAGGTCCCGAATACCTCCCTCCATTTTAGTAAACAACCGTCCCATCAAATGATGCAACTCTGTCACCTAGCTAGGCGTTGTTTTCGGCAGGACCCTAAACAGGTGGCTCCACGTCGCAACTACCCGTAACAAGGCAATAGGTGCATGCATGGCACTCAAGCCTTTCTTTCGAAACGACTCCATCTCCCAACATGCCAAAATCCGTACGTTTAACGCAATAATCAGGAGCATTTGCTCCTACACCACTTCCATCTGGGGCTGCGCCCTTCCCTACCGTCTGAAACTTCTGCAAGGCATCTACATGCGGATCCTTCGTTCTGCACTAAACTATCCCTGGTTCGTCAGAAACACCCAAATTCTGAAGGATATTGCTTTAGCTTCTCTCCCTGAGGCTGCAATCTCATTCGCAGCAAATCTCAGGGCCTCAGTGTCAGTTTACTCAAACCCTACTATCTCGACACTCTCCAACTTCGCACCGAAGCCAAACGACCGTTTCCGAAGGCCCTGTTACCTTCTACAATGAGCCACACCCTTTCGCTCACTCCTAGCTTGGCTTTCTAGCGCGAGTGTCCACCCATCACTTCCAAGGTGGATCACCTATTTCGACGGTTCTCACCCCCCCCCAATTCCCCCACGCTTAACTATTTTACCTACTCAACCCTCTCCCATATCCTAACCTTCCATTCTCTTCCCGGGGATGAGTAACCCTTAGGGTTTATCTCCCCACTCGAGGAGGGGTTTTAGTCGGTAAAAATCCGACACTACAGCCTTTCAGGGGGTGTCTTTTGAAGATTTCCCCTCCTCGAGAATAATCTAAATAAAAAAAACTGCAGAAGGCAGTCGATGACGCTCGGCAGCAGCATCGAGTTCTCCCAACCCCAATAGTGCTCAGCAACCGCATTGGGTCTCCCAGTTTCAAATTTCTACCAGAATCAAACATCAAGTGTCCACTTTAACCCTTGAATCCAAATGAAGCGAGGAAAGCGTTCCGGACGCAAGGTACGGCTGGCTGCCGCGCTTTATCCCGTGTCGTTTCCTATCGGGAATGCCCAGACAGTGATGAATTTCGAATGTGTTCTTGTTTTAGTGTTCCCTTTTGTGTATATATTGTGTTCTTTCTCTCTTCTATGTATATATCGTGTTCTTTTCTCTCTGTAAATATATACGTATATAATGACACCTGCATACTTTCTTTCCTTTTACTGCACAGCGTATCCGAAGTCATGCTCACACACATCCCCCGGGAGCTAGATCAAACTAAATAACTAAATGATTAACATAAAATCCCTTCCTTTTTTGCTTCGTATTCTCTTCTTATTCGTCTTTCAGCGTATTCTAACCTAATTCTTATTCTATAGGCTTTATTTTGTGTTTGCTTTTCTTGTAATTCTATTGCCATTATAGTATATTAAGTAAATGAAGAAACAATAATTTTTGTCCCTAACCCTCGACCTAAGCTGTAAATTATCTTGGTCCCCAAGATGTGTCGAAGTCTTCTGGATATTTGGTCTTCTTCGCTGTCTCTGTCATAGCGTACCTTGGTCGTTTTCTACCATATCCTATTCGTTTTCTTTTTCTAGTTTACCTCATCCTTCTTTAACTTCATCCAATTTATCGGCAGGTTCTTCTTTGGGATTGTTGTGTTCTTCTTCTTCAAAACTTTGGTTTTGCCATATTTTTATTTGACTTGCTTGGGCTCTCGTTCTTGCATATTTTCCTTCCTTGTCTAGTAAGGATGTAACTTCATAGGTGTCGCTGGGTAAAATTCGGATCACTTTCAATGGTCCTTTAATCGTAGTTGTAATTTTGCGGATTCACCTGTTGCTTGCGGGTCTCCGACGACGTCTCCTGTTTTGTGCTGTAGGCACTCCTTTACATCTCTTTTTGTCTTTGTATTTAATTTGTTCTCTTTCGATGGTTTGTTACACTTCTTGTAGTTCTTCTGGTAGTTGATAGTTTTCGTTATCTTCCGTCGTCGAACCGGGGTATGTCTTTCCATAAAATCCGAATGGAGTTCCTCCTGTTGTCTTGTTAACTCATGTATTGATGTCTCGCTCAATTTTTTTATATGTAGGTCCCACGTTTTCTTCAACTTGTACACTTGCTTGCATCAGTGGATACTGTTTGATTTAGTCTTTCTGCGAGCTCGCTGGCTTGAGGATGCCTACTTGAATTCAGGGTGGACCTAGTCTCATTTTTGACATAATTTTTCAAAGGTTTTAGCATTGGAACTGGTTCCTCTGTCTGATATTCATGAGGGGGACCCAAAGTTTTCTATAAACTTATCGATTCTTCTGACAGTTATCTCTGTCGTCGTTGACCTTACAGCTTCTAGTTGTACGAACTTGGTTAGGTTGTCTATAAGTAGTAGTAAATACTTGTTTCTCTAGCTGTCGTAATAAAGGTCTTAGGTGATCTATATGTACCTACACATTCAAAGGCTTTCTGGTGGTATTGGATGAAGTAATCCCGGTTGTCTACCTGCTCAGTTCTGGGACAATATACACTCTAAGCACATTTGGATGTGTCTAAAAATGTATTTCCGCATGTTTGGAAAGTAATAATAATTAATCATTTTACAGGTATGTCTTTTCGGTTCCATCATGTCCCACTAAATCATAGTATTTGATTACTAGCGATTTTTTCATGCTCTTCGGTGCTGCACATGTCTTTCTCATTGTCTTTCACTTTCATTGTTTTGTACAAAAGTCCATTCCTTAACTTGTAGTTCCGCACATCGTTTAGGTGGTCTGTGATACTCCAATCCTTTCTGTTCTTTTTCAAAATTTCAATTTTATTTCTTAATCTGCTATCTGAAAATTGGTACAAAATAGTTTTTTCTTCTCGTGTCACAACAGTAAACACACTTAATTTGTCAAATAGCAATTCAGCACTATAGAAACACTTTATCACTTCTTCGGTCTTTTTTCTCTTTCTATCATCTCAAACATTCTGACTCGTACTAACTCTACACGATTTGTTCTTTAGGTTATTTTCGAGGAGGGTAAATCTTCAAAAGACACTCCCTGAAGGGAGCAAGTGTCGGATTTTTACCGACTAAAACCGCTCTTCGAGTGGGGAGATAAACCCTGAGGGTTACTAATCCCCGGGAAGAAAATGGAAGGTTGGGATTGGGGAAATAATTTTCCGTGTTACCGTCTAGAAACTGTCCGTGTACTAACTGCATGACATCTATAATCCTTACTTTTCCTAATTGCAATTTCATGATGGGTCTCTTCGGTTATTTAGGTTTAAACTTAACTTCTCAGTATTTCTTCTAAACGACGTTTCCAGATTTCACTAGTAACTAATTCATCACATGTTGGGCTTACTACTTCCTAGTACTGACTAAAACTAAAAATACCAAACAAAACGAAAACACAAATGCTGTTGGGAAAGACATCAACAGCCCCCAGCGCGGCACTTTGCCTTTGATCTAGACACTGCTCCTATCAAACAAAGACAAGACAAAACATGCAAAAAAAAACACCTAAATCCTTACAAATTCAACATCCTCCCCACCTTGAGATAAAATGCACTATTTATTTTAAAAACAAAAAACATTAACATAATAAACGTAACTAACACTAGTGACTAATTAAAATACATTAATCATTCTCTCAACCTTTCTGCCAGTCTTAGTTAATACATTGGACTTTATTTTCCGATATGTCTCGTTCCTCTTGCACAGAGTTTTTCACACAACTGTTAACACTGTCATAATTTAATTCTAATGGAAAAACCTTTTGTATCAGTCGCACTAACTCGCCCGAATCTGTCGTTAATTGCACCACACGAACAATTCCATCTTTGCCTGGAATCACATCCGTAACCTTAGCCAATGGCCACTCAAGTCTCTTAGTGTTATCACTTTCTATTAACACGATATCCCCTACACTAATTTTATCAGTATTTTTTACATTAGCTTTTTGTTTTACTAACATTCCTAAATATTCACTCCTAAACCTGCGTCTTAACTCATCTTTCAACTTTTGCCTATACGCATACCTTCTATTTATTTTATTTGCTTCAATACTATCTAAGTCCAAAACCCCTATCTCTTTTATTTCCTCTAAGAAATCCGATGGAGCCAACGGTTTGAACTCAGTCTCAACAGCTAACATGAATGTTATCGGTCTTGAATTAATTATAGCCTCACAATCGATTAAAACAATTGACATTTCCTCATAATCCAGACTTGTTCTTCTAAGGGTCCGACGTAATATTTTTTTTCAGAATTCCTATAAGGCGCTCTCAAAATCCTCCCCACCATGCCGCAGTGGGAGGATTAAATCGCCATTCTATTTTTTGCAGAGCAACGGTACCTCCTAACATTTTTTAGTCTAATCTGTCTAATTCGTTTAAGCCCCTTGAAATTTGTACCGTTATCGCTGTAGATTATGTTGGGCCTGCCCCTTCTAGCTATAAATCGTCCAAGTGCCATAAGTACTGCCGCTATATTTAAAGAATTTACAATCTCCAAGTGCACTGCTCTAAAAACTGCACATGTGAAAATTCATATCCATTATCCAAGCCTTTTTCGCGCTTCCCAGATACATTGGCCCGGCAAAATCTATACCGATTACTCTAATACCGCAGCGTCCCTAACGCGATTTAAGGGTTACGGTGCCGGAATTAATTTTAAAGGCTGAGACTCATAGCGACGACATACTATACATTTTCTAATTACGGATCTAATTATTCGCCTACCCCTTAATATCCAGTACTTTTCTCTTAAGGAATTTAATGTGATCTGTAATGTAAAGCAATGATACTAATATTATTGGGTAGAATATATGGACATTTGAAATTAAACGAAGCTTCTCGGAGTACAATTTTTGTTTCTACACAAACTAAACCATCTTCCTCCGTAAATAACATAAAATGTTTACTGGTTCTATCCTCAAAATCTGTTAAACTTTCTTGGCACATTTTTAATACACTTTTCACTGAGGCTTTAATTTCCGCGCAGCCTAGACTGTCTTCATGTAATTTACCTGAACTATTCCTACAATTGTTTATAAATCTTTTTATCCACGCAACTATACTTAAAACCTTAGAATAATTCGAAAACTTTTAGTAATTTAGGCTCAGCTGGTATTNCAAAAAATATGCGATATTAATTTTTACCTATTGTACTTTATGTAGATAATGTTGTCCAAACACCAAACACAGCAAACAATCAAAACGATCCCGTACACGGTACCTCAAAACAACATGTGATTTGCGTATGATATATCATACGATGGGCACTTATGGGTTAATTTGTACACCTATATGCACAACAATATTTAACCATTTCAACTAATTACTTTAAAAAACTAACAAAATTAACAACACAGCCTAAATAACACCTCTATTTACGTTAGTCCGATGCAGACAGATAACCACCCCATAGCGTCTGACCTTACACTTGGGATCATCTTTCTCAACAGCTTCCTGTAAGCGGCCATTGAACTAGAGTCCAGATTCCCCTCCACTGCTCCAATTCAATGAAACGAGCTAATTCCAGTGTTCCCCTCCACTTCAATGGTGATATCATAGTAATCATTATAGATCCATACTTATGTACATAGACATACATTAATGGACGTGCCTTAGCCGTGTGTCGTGATAATTTCTTGGCTCGAAAAGTGAGGGAAATGGTGTATGGTTTCGGAGTAGTGCGGTCTTTTTCATTACACGCTCACGCACTATCCTGAGAGAGATGGATATTGTCCGAAACTTCGTTCCTTCTCTTTCTTTTGTTGTACCACAATTCTGACCGCTAAGGTATGTCCATTAGTAAACGTCGATGCTTATGTAGCTGTCAGCGGGGATCATAGATGCGAAAATCTGTAATCACAAACAATAACCACTGACCATTTAAGAGCTTCACCGACCATGACCTTCGCGCTGACAAGTAGATTGGTAACCAAAACCCACCGGTTGTGGGGTGTCTTTTGAAGATTTCCATTTTCCACGAAAACATTAGCTCGAATTTTTACAAAACTTTGCTGCCTCCTGAAGTTTATGTCCAAAAGGTCACACCATGAGCCTCTAATAATGGTACTAATATGTAGGAATTACTCCTAATTTTTCCGATCCGACGGGACTTGAACCTTGACGAAACTCTTGTACAAACTAGAGTGGGTGGATCGGCTTGCGAGTTTCGATGATTTAGGGTGCCGGACCACAGGTTCAACTATAATGGAGGGGTTCCTGAAGAGAAACCAGACTAAGACAAGTCCCTGAAAGAGGGCAGCAGCTCTTTCAGTACTCAGGGTTTCAAAAATCACGAGGATGGGAATGGCACTCTGATGCACAATACTGCGATGTGGAAGGCCTCGAGAAATCACTACATTATGGTTCCGAGTAAAATTTCCTCTGGGGTAAAGCACTCCGGACGTAAACTAGTCCACCATTCGGATCTCAGGGAGGGGACTACCTCGGGGGATCAATAAGTGCAATAGGGTTAGGTGCAATATTTCACGAGGTGCAATATTTCACGAGTTGGAGCGTGAAATGTTAGGACAATGAGGCAAGTAGGAAAATTAGACAACTTAAAAGTAGAGATGGATAGATTAGAATTAGATTTAGTAGGTATAGTGAAGTCCGTTGGCCCGAAGCTGGAGATTTTTGGAGTGGGGACTTTAGAGTAATATATACAGGATCGATAGAAGGTAATTCGGGGGTAGGAATTGTAATGCGTAGGAAGGTAGGGAAGAGTGTAGAAAGTTATTTACAAAAAAGCGGTAGGATAGTTATGGTTAAATCAAACTCAAAGCCGGTAAGAACGGTATTAGTGCAGATCTACATGCCTACATCATCTTACAGTGATGAAGACGTAGAAGCAGTTTATGCAGATATAAAAGACGTGTTAAGTTTAGAGAAAGGACAGGAAAACCTAATAGTTTTAGGAGATTTCAACGCAATAATAGGTGAAGTTAAAGTGGGTGCAGTAGCAGGTTCTCTTGGATTAGGCAATAGAAATAATAGGGGAGACAGGCTGATTTTGCGATAAACATAACTAAACCGTCACAAATACTTTATTAAGCCTCCACGTTAGGAGGCGCTATACGTGGAAGATGCCAGGTGATTTAGGGAGATATCAGTTAGATTACATACTTATTAGGCAAAGATTTAAAAATCAAACGAAGGACTGTAGGAGTTATCCAGGAGCAGATATAGATAGCGATCATAACTTAGTAGTTATGAAAACCAATCTAAAATTGAAAATTCTGAAAAAGAGGGAAGGTAGGAGACATCTCGACTTAGAGAAGCTAAGATGTCACGAAACGTGTGATACTCTAGGTAAAAGGACAGGCGAAATACTAAAGGCGGCGGGAGAAACGAATGATGGGGACATAGAGACAGAATGGAGCTGCATTAAAACGTGTCAGCAGCTACGGTATACTAGGTCTTAAATAAAACGAAAGTAGGAAACCCTGGATAACAAATGAGGTTGTAGGATTAATAGACGAAAGGCGGAAATACAAAAACAGGACAGACGAAGAAGGGCAAAAAAGATATGTAAGTAAACTTTTTCGCTTATANATCCACGCTATTACCGTCGATGAATCTGACCAAAAATGAAGATTTACAAATTTTGTATTTAACATTCTTGTCGTAGCGTCAGCCAATCTCGCTCCAACGTTTGCCGCCAATAATTCTAAACGTGGTATACTATTACGTACATTTTCCTTACTTTTCATAGGAGAAACTCGCGATTTAGCTTGTACGAATCTAACTTTGACTCCTTCACTATCTTTTATGCGAATAAAAATAACAGCCGCGTATGCCGATTTACTTGCATCGCAAAATGTATGCAAACTAATTTCATCGTGCGAATCCGTTCCTCCGATGAGACAACGCGGTATCTCTACTTTATTTAATTCAATAATTCCCTCGTACCATTTTATAAAGCGAGTTTTAATTTCAGTACCGACGTCGTCATCCCACGTGAGATTTCTTGCCCATACTTCTTGCAATAATATCCGCGGACCAAGTGTTACGGGACAAACAAAACCCAACGGATCAAAAATACGATGTACGCAAGACAAAATATCTCTTTTAGTTATTTTCTGTAAATCTAAATTTTCTAAATTTTCAACATTTAAAGATAATACATCTCGTTTCTTATCCCACATAATGCCTAAAACCGGAGTGATACTCTCTGTGGAAACATCACCATTATATTCCCAACCGCGAAGATCAAAACCTGCAAGCTCCATCGATTTCCTCGCCTGATACATAAATTCATTTAATTGAGTAGTCGAGTTTACACTGGTTACACAATTATCAACATAGAAATCATTTAACAATTTTTCAATATTACTACGAGTAAAAATCGATTTACAGTCATTCTGTAATGACTCAAGAATACCCTTCAAATGTAATTCAATTACTGCGCCTAACATAAATGGGCTGGAACATATACCAAATACAACCCTACAATGACGTAGTACAATTAAATTATTTTGATCATCATACCAAAAAAATCTTAGAAAATTTCGATCTTTAGGATCAATACTGATCTGTAAGAAAGCTCTTTTAATATCTGCTATTACACCTATATTACCTTCCCGGAATCTCAATAAAATAGAAGGCAGTTGCTCGATGAGATTGGGTCCCTTTTGTAAGCATTCGTTCAGACTAGGCGAAGGAGGCTGTTTGGCAGAGGCATCAAAAACGGGTCGAATTACAGTTGTACTACGTTCCTTAACAACATGACGGTGTGGTAGATAGTGTCCCCAAATGTCCATCTCCTTGTCTAACACACGTTCGATGATTCCTTCGGCTAACCATTCTTTGAATACCGCGTCGTAGGCTTCATATCTTCCTTCGATCCTAAGCTTCTTCGTAGTAGTTTGTAGACGTTTAATAGCAACACTTTTATTGTCGGACAGCGGGGGGTGGTTTTCCGACCATGGTAACTGTACTTCATATCGATTTTCACTGTTGATAGAAACGGTTTCCAAGAATTCTCTGTACATCACTTCTTCTTGTTGTTTAAAAGTCCTATACGTCATAGGATCTCTTATACCTAACACATCTAGAGACCACAAATCTTTCAAATCGCAATTTTTAACGTACAACGATATCGCGGCGACAGTAGAGTTTTCCCGTACATTTTCTTTTCTTACTGCGCCCATAATGGTCCAACCTAACAACGTTTCGAACGCTACTAAACCACTCTTCAGTTCTTTACGACAACCGGTCAATATTTTTCCCGCAACATCGGCGCCGATAAGAATCGATATTGGATCGTCACAGTCCCATACATCCGTTAATCTTATATTAAATTCGTTTAGTTCGTGAAGCCACTTTTTATTCTCAATAGGTTCTATACGACCACAAATGACCTCTTGGTCCAGCGCGACGAAATTACACGCAAAATCGCTCTCTAAACTTTGCATTCGTACGCGATATTCTTTGTGTGCGACAACTTCCGACTGCCCGCCACCGAAAAGCATATGACTTAATCTTTGTTCACCCACCGATTGGTAACCCAATTTTTCGATTATATCTTTCGTCACGTAAGATCTTTGTGATCCACTATCAATCAACACGCGCGCAATCAGTTCTCTATTATCGCTGTAAATTTTTACTTTTAATGTTTGCAGGAACACCATTTTGTTATTGGAAATGCTCGCGATACAATTCAACTCTTTCCGCACTGGCGCGGAAGTATCTGCGCTCGCAATTTCATCCCTTTGTTCTCTTGGTTTCTCATCTGGACACATCAAATTTACGTGTCTTCGTTCACATCGCGAACATTTTACGCGGACTCGACAAGTTTTGAAACCATGCCCGATTTTAAGACACTTAAAACACGCACGCGCTCTCTTCACACACTCTTGTTTACCCGATAAACTCATTCTTTTAGCTTTATTGCAACCCTCACTCTCGTGATCTTTGGCGTCGCAAAATATACAGGTGTGGTCTTTTCCTTTGGTCATTAACAAACCCATCGCGCTCGGAATATTTCTATTAAATTTATACGGCTTAGATTTCTTAATATCAGATTCGTGCCCAGTATCTAAATTAAAACCTTGTAACGCCAACGAAATTCGCAACTCACTTTGTACCTCCCTCTCGATAAATTCTATAAGACGGGTGAGTCTGTCTTTGGATCGCGGTTTTCCATCTTCCGCGTCCGAATTGTGTTTTCCAGCGTCACTGCGTTGCCACGCGCGTAATAAGTCCTCCGGCAAGGAAGATTCTACTAACGGGTACAACATCGCCGCGCACTTGTCCGTGGTAACTCCTAATGTTTCCAGGGCCCTCAAATGAGATTCCAATCTATCATACAAGCTTGCAAGTGAAATATTACCACGTCCTTTAATAGCATTTTGCAGCACAAGTTGCAACAATTCACGCACGTAAACTTCAATCAAAAGTTCGTCTTGACCGAACCTACTCTTTAAACTTCTTATTACTTTATCATAATTGCTTCCAGTTGGTGGGTAACTTTTAACTAACTCCGCTGCTCTTGAGTCCGGCACAACCGCTTGTTTCAAATACTGGAACTTGTCTTCATTGCACATATTTTTGTCCTCATGGATTTTCTTGAAACAACTCCAAAAAGACAGCCACTCACGAATGTCTCCGTTAAACTTAACAATTTCTATCGACGGCAACTTATAAGATCTCTTGTTTTCACCGTTAGAAGAAGAACCCGACGGGACCGCACAATCAACCAAATTTTGCACTAAATTACTATCACCCATGGTACGTTCGGTGAACAAGTATTTGGCTGTTAAAAACCTATGCTTGTACTCATCTGCTTCATCGTACTCCTTTTGTAACTCAGTCTCGGTAGCGGTCTCTAATATGGCCTCAATTATAGAATCTTGACAATAATTTAAATCGGTTAACTTATCTTCCAAAGTACAAAACGCGACTCTCAAACTTGCAATTGTAGATTCTGCATTGTCCAACATCACTTGTAATGAATTCAGGGCCTTCGTAAAACCAATTCTTAACACAGTTCTTTTCTTCTTCAACGGTTCCATTTTTCTCGTTTTAATACAACACCCAAAAACCAATAATTCAATAATAATAACCCAAAAACAGTCCTGTCACGGTCGCCAAATGTTTTGTCGCGGAACTGAATCCAAGGGAAATTATTTTGTTGAAAATAAACAACGAAGATATCAAAACGAGAATTAACTTTTATATTTTAAAATGCGGAAAACAAGACTACTTCAATACATGTTGTGCTTACTACTATCTATTACTGACTAAACTAAACATAGCAAATTTTACTTATTCTTATTTCCACCACGATAGGTAGACTAAACAAATCAAAAACACAAATGCTGTTGTGCAAGACATCGCAGCCCCCAGCGCGGCACTTGCCTTTGAGCTAGACACCGCTCGTATCAAACAGACATGACAAAACATGCAAAAAAACAACTAAATCCTTACAAATTCAACATCCTCCCCACCTTGAGATAAAACGCATTATTTATCTCAAAAAACAAAAAAACATTAATAATAAACGTAACTAACACTAGTGACTAATTAAAATACATTAATCGTTCGACTTTCTTAACCTTTCTGCCAGTCTTAGTTACATAGGGTTCTTTACATTCAACTGGATTCTCTTTATTACCTTCAATTGATTTGATACATTGGACTTTATTTTCCGATATGTCTTGTTCCTCTTGCACAGAGTTTTTCACGCAATTGTTAACACTGTCATAATTTAATTCTAACGGAAAAACCTTTTGTATCGGTCGCACTAACTCGCCCGAAGCTGTCGTTAATCGCACCACACGAATAATTCCATCTTTGCCTGGAATCACATCCGTAACCTTAGCCAATGGCCACTCAAGTCTCTTAGTGTTATCACTTCCTATTAACACAATATCCCCTACACTAATTTTATCAGTATTTTTTACATTAGCTTTTTGTTTTACTAACATTCCTAAATATTCACTCCTAAACCTGCGTCTTAACTCATCTTTCAACTTTTGCCTATACGCATACCTTCTATTTATTTTATTTGCTTCAATACTATCTAAGTCCAAAACCCCTATCTCTTTTATTTCCTCTAAGAAATCCGATGGAGCCAACGGTTTGAACTCAGTCTCAACAGCTAACATGAATGTTATCGGTCTTGAATTAATTATAGCCTCACAATCGATTAAAACAATTGACATTTCCTCATAATCCAGACTTGTTCTTCTAAGGGTCCGACGTAATATTTTTTTTCAGAATTCCTATAAGGCGCTCTCAAAATCCTCCCCACCATGCCGCAGTGGGAGGATTAAATCGCCATTCTATTTTTTGCAGAGCAACGGTACCTCCTAACATTTTTTAGTCTAATCTGTCTAATTCGTTTAAGCCCCTTGAAATTTGTACCGTTATCGCTGTAGATTATGTTGGGCCTGCCCCTTCTAGCTATAAATCGTCCAAGTGCCATAAGTACTGCCGCTATATTTAAAGAATTTACAATCTCCAAGTGCACTGCTCTAAAAACTGCACATGTGAAAATTCATATCCATTATCCAAGCCTTTTTCGCGCTTCCCAGATACATTGGCCCGGCAAAATCTATACCGATTACTCTAATACCGCAGCGTCCCTAACGCGATTTAAGGGTTACGGTGCCGGAATTAATTTTAAAGGCTGAGACTCATAGCGACGACATACTATACATTTTCTAATTACGGATCTAATTATTCGCCTACCCCTTAATATCCAGTACTTTTCTCTTAAGGAATTTAATGTGATCTGTAATGTAAAGCAATGATACTAATATTATTGGGTAGAATATATGGACATTTGAAATTAAACGAAGCTTCTCGGAGTACAATTTTTGTTTCTACACAAACTAAACCATCTTCCTCCGTAAATAACATAAAATGTTTACTGGTTCTATCCTCAAAATCTGTTAAACTTTCTTGGCACATTTTTAATACACTTTTCACTGAGGCTTTAATTTCCGCGCAGCCTAGACTGTCTTCATGTAATTTACCTGAACTATTCCTACAATTGTTTATAAATCTTTTTATCCACGCAACTATACTTAAAACCTTAGAATAATTCGAAAACTTTTAGTAATTTAGGCTCAGCTGGTATTGCAACTAAACAACTACTGTTGCCATGCTTGGCACTCTTTTTCAATTCAGAGTGTATTTCTTCTTCATTATACAATAGATCGACGTTACTATTCGGCCAATCTTCAGAATCTCTATATAACCATTCCGGCCCATCCCACCAATGCGATGATAATAAACGCTCTACAGTACACCCTCTCGAAGGAAGGTCAGCGGGATTCAAATTACCAGGAACATGCCGTCAAGATTTAGGATCTGAGATTTCGCGGATTTCTTTTACACGATTATGTACAAATGTACTCCAATTGTGTTCACGATGAATCCACGCTATTATCGTCGATGAATCTGACCAAAAATGAAGATTTACAAATTTTGTCTCCGATGAGACAACGCGGTATCTCTACTTTATTTAATTCTATAATTCTCTTGTACAATTTTATAAAGCGCGTTTTAATTTCAGTACCGACGTCGTCACCCATGTGAGATTTTTTGATCAAAATTCTTGTAATAATATCCGCGAAACAAGTGTTACGGGACAAACAAATCCCAACGGATCAAAAATACGATGGATGTAAGACAAAATATTTCTTTTAGTTATTTTCTCCAAATTTAAAGATAGTACATCTCGTTTTTTGTCCCACATAATGCCTAAAACCGGAGTGATACTCTCCGTGGAAACATCACCATTATATTCCCAACCGCGAAGATCAAAACCTGCAAGCTCCATCGATTTCCTCGCCTGATACATAAATTCATTTAATTGAGTAGTCGAGTTTACACTGGTTACACAATTATCAACATAGAAATCATTTAACAATTTTTCAACATCACTACGAGTAAAAATCGATTTACAGTCATGACTCAAGAATACCCTTCAAATGTAATTCAATTACTGCGCCTAACATAAATGGGTTAGAACATATACCAAATACAACCCTACAATGACGTAGTATAATTAAATTATTTTGATCATCATACCAAAAAAATCTTAGAAAATTTCGATCTTTAGGATCAATACTGATCTGTAAGAAAGCTCTTTTAATATCTGCTATTACACCTATATTACCTTCCCGGAATCTCAATAAAACAGAAGGCAGTTGCTTAATGAGATGGGTCCTTTTTGTAAGCATTCGTTTAGACTAGGCGAAGGAGGCTATTTGGCAGAGGCGTCAAAAACGGGTCGAATTACAGTTGTACTACGTTCCTTAACAACATGACGGTGTGGTAGATAGTGTCCCCAAATGTCCATCTCCTTGTCTAACACACGTTCGATGATTCCTTCGGCTAACCATTCTTTGAATACCGCGTCGTAGGCTTCATATCTTCCTTCGATCCTAAGCTTCTTCGTAGTAGTTTGTAGACGTTTAATAGCAACACTTTTATTGTCGGACAGAGGGGGGTGATTTTCCGACCATAGTAACTGTACTTCATATCGATTTTCACTATTGATAGAAACGGTTTCTAAGAATTCTCTGTACATCAGTTTTTTTTGTTGTTTAAAAATCCTATGCGTCATAGGATCTCTTATACCTAACATATCTAGAGTCCACAAATCTTTCAAATCGCAATTTTTAAGGTACAATGATATTGCGGTGACAGTAGAGATTTCCCGTACATTTTCTTGTCTAACTGCGCCCATAATGGTCCAACCTAACAACGTTTCGAACGCTACTAAACCACTCTTCAGTTCTTTATGACAACCGGTCAATATTTTTCCTGCAACATCGGCGCCGATAAGAATTGATATTGGATCGTCACAGTCCCATACATCCATTAATCTTATATTATACTCGTTTAGTTCGTCAAGCCACTTTTTATTTTTAATAGGTTCTATACGACCACAAATGACCTCTTGGACCAGCGCAAGGAAATTACACCCAAAATCGTTCTCTAAACTTTGCATTCGTACGCGATATTATTTGTTCCCCAACGAAAAATGAAGGAAGTGACGGTATAATATTTTTAAACTATGTCACTTAATCCTAATTCTGAGATGTTTTTTACAGGATTATCATATAAATCAGGCGCTTTAACATTCCTCTTAGGCCCATTTACAACTGCAGGTATTTGGAGAACTTGTGCTAGGACCATCCGAAAAATCCGGCACATCTGCATTTACAAAACTTTCATTTTTAGCAACGGGCTCAACAGTACCCTCCCCGAGAATCAACCTCTCCTCGGGTGGAATATAAAAATCCCAATCATCATCATCAGCCTTTTCAAACGCACTTGAGTTTCGCAGATTCTTCGCTGATCTAATTTGATCGACATGCCTCCTCCACACACTACCATCCTCCAGCGGAATACAATAGTTCAATTTACCGGTTACGGCCTTAATCTTACCGAAAACCCATTTCTGCTTACCGAGATAATTACGGGCAATCACATTTTGCCCCACGTAAAATCTCTTAACTTTCAAGTTATCATTAACGAAGTTTAAACTCCTAACCTCTACCGAAGGTTTTAACAAATCAAGCTTACATCTTAGTTTCCTTCCGAGGAAAAGCTCAGCTGGAGTTTTGCCAGTGTGAGGATGAACCATGTTTCTGTATTGAAACAAAATCTTTTGTACATCATTATGAATGTTTTTCGGATCATTCATCTTTTTCAACGCAGCTTTGATAATTTGTACATATCTCTCCGCCTGCCCATTTGTAGCTGGATGATAAGGCGCAGAGAACTTGTGGAGAATTCCGTTTTCCTTTAAAAAATTTTCAAACGTATTTGAAACAAAAGTTTTCCCATTGTCGGAAACCAAATTCTCGGGTAAACCGAAATTTGCAAAAATCTCCCTACATTTTGAAACGGTATTCTCCGCAAGTATGTTTTTCACAATGTGAATTTCGGGCCATTTAGAAAACGCATCAACCAAAATAAAGAAATAATGATTTAAAAATTTGCCTGCAAAATCCACATGCACACGCTCGAAAGGGGTCACTGCTGGCTCCCACACATGCTTAGTAACCTTCACAGGGTTATTCAAATTCAACAAACAATTCGGACAATCATTAGCGAGATGTTCAATATCTCTGTCGATGCTGGGCCACCAACAATAACTCCTAGCCAACGACTTCATTTTCACAATTCCGAAATGTCCTGAGTGTAATTCGCTCAGGATCCTAGCACGCAAACTAGTAGGTACAACTACTCGGTGGTTTCGAACTAGCACACCATTTTCGACAGAAAATTCGCAAGGATTAATATTCCAGGTATCTTTCGCATTTAATTTATGACCCTGGATTAACGCCGTCATCACTCTCGAAATTGCACTATCATTCGCGATCACCTCTTTTATTTTAAAAACGTCCAAGGATAACGTATCCAAGGTATCAAAATGAAAGACGTTTCAAACATCCACGTTTTCATCGCAATTCGGCACAGGTAATCTCGATAACCCGTCGGCGTTGCCGTTCTGTTCCGACCGTTTGTATTTCACGTCATAATTAAATCCACGAAGGAAAATCGCGTAATGCTGCATACGCATTGCGCTATACACGGGTAAACTCTTATTTGGATCAAAAATTTGCGCCAGCGGACGATTGTCCGTAAACAAAGTAAATTTCACACCGTAAAGATACTGGTGCAATTTCTTTACCGCAAAAACTATCGCATAAGCTTCCCGATCAATTTGACTGTATTTTGCTTGGACTGCATTTAGCGTTTCCGAAACGCAAATGATTGGCCTTTCCGAGCCATCCTCAAATTTATGAGACAAAACCGCGCCTACTCCCGTCGGGCTTGCATCCGTCGCAAGTATCAATGGCTTGGTAGGATCATAAAAGGTTAAACACGTATCTCGCGAAAAAGCCTCGCGAGCTTCATCAAAAGCACGGTCATGCTTACCAGTTCAAGACTCTTTGAAATTTACACCTTTATGCAAAAGCAAAAAAAAAGGCTGCAAAATCCTACTCAAATTCGGAATGAATCTATTATAATAATTTATAAATGCTATAAAAGAACGTAACTCTGTAATATTCGTAGGTTTTGGCATCTTGGCTAGCGCTTCTATTTTGGAAGGATCCTTGTGGATACCATTAGCATCAATAATATATCCACAATATTTAATCGACTTTTCAAAAAATACACATTTACTTAACTGTATTTTAATATTGTGATCATTCAAAATTTTCAATACCTTATTTAGTAAATCAACAAGACCTTTCAAGGTAGAAACGGCCAACCTAATATCATCCTGAAAAACGCGAACGCCCTTAATTTTTCCAAAAAGGAAATTCATATTCTCTTCTTCTCAAATCAGCTGACTCTTTGTCAACAGGCAACTGCAGGTATGCTTTCGAACAATCAATTTTAGCAAAACATTTACAACCTGCTAAATCGGCAAATAATTCATTTGTTGTTGGTAACGGAAATTCGTTCACCATCAACTGCGGGTTTACCGTGACACTGTAATCGCCGCAAATCCTAACCGAGCCATCTTTCTTTAAAACCGGCACGATAGGAGTTGCGAAAACCGAACTTTCAACGCGCTCTAAAACGCCTTCTCTCTCCAAAGAGTCTAACTCTTTATCAACAAGATTCACTAAACGAAACGGTAAACTACGTGCCTTCATAAAAACAGGCTTTGCACCCGATTTCAGTGTCAAGGTTGCCCTTAATCCTATTATTTGAGACAAATCTTCCCTCACGACATTCGGGAAATTTTTAGAAATGCTCAATAAATTTATCTTTATCAAATTTATCACATTCATTCATCGAGTAAACATCAGTAAATAAACTAATCGCGTTTTTAGACTTGAAAAAATCGCGAATCCACTCTCTTCCGCAAAGAGGTGTACGGTTAATATTCGTCAAGTACAAATTTAATTCAAAAGTCTCATTCTCATAAATAACCGACAACATTCAAAGAATTTTTACAATAGGTTACCAAACGAAGTGTAAACCGGTGAACTCGTAGATCAGGAAACAGCTTCTTTGCCTGCTCGACCCACATCAGTGTCACAGCTGCACCACTGTCCACCTCGAACTCGATCAGCTGACCATTGACCTCCAGCTGCTTCAGAAATTTTCTACGTTTCTCTTGTTGCGTTGACTCCGTAACAAGAATTTCTTCTGCTTCTGAATTCAAGTAACCCAAATCGACTTGATTTGCTGACGTACTCTTCTTTCTGCATGCTCTTTGTATATGGCCTGCTTTGCCACAAAGATTGCACGTGACATCTTTAGGGACTTTGCATTTAGGAGAATAATTCTCCTTGCTACCCCACCTATAGCAATAATTTGAACTAGAATTACCATTTGCATTCTTGCTAATGCTATCTTCTTTGTAACTTTTATTTTTGTTAAAATTTTCGAATTTTTTCTTCTTGAAATTTTTCTTCTGAGCTTTATTTTTAGAGTGTAAAGCATTAACATTTGCAGCAACTTTACTTTCTTCTCTAATAGTGTTGGTTTCCTTCTCGCACAACTCCATGGTGATGGCAGTTTCTTGTGCTTTTTTAAAATCCAAATCAGCTGTACCCAACAGCCTTGTTTGAATCTTCTTGCTGCTAAGACCAAACACAAATTGATTTCTAAGGGCCTTATCTAAATGGGTACCAAACTTACATTTTTTTGCTAGTTTGCACAGATTAGTAACAAACTCTTGAATTGACTCACCTTGCTGCTGCTTTGTAGAGTTAAACTTGAAATTTTCAGCAATTTCTAATAACTCTGGTGAGTACAACGTTTTTAATTTACCGGTGAGAGCTTTGTAGTCAAGGCCGGTGACTTCCTCCTCACAATTATCACTTAGCATATTAAACGCTTCTTCACCAATGTAATGTAGAAGATACACTGGTTTTTCTTTTTCATCAGCTTTCATGATTTTGAACGCTGTTTCAAAACGTTGTAACCAGCGCTCCCATGATGCGGAGTTTGGTACAAAAGGTTCTAGTTGCAAAATAATAGGGCTAGAACTTTTATTTTCATCACCACCACCCATTTTTACTTTTCTTCAGGCGGTTGCACTGAGATGCTCCAAGGTTGCGCTAAGCTTCCTTTAGGTAGTTTGGTATTGACTTCTATTTAAAAAGAAAAATCTTCGCAACACTGGTAGAATTTCCAAAATAAATTCACTTTATGTCTGCACCAACCAGTAACAAACTTTCGACGATTTTCAGCTTTGTCCGAGCAAGAATGATGCACGACACTTGATTTTAATCTTTTTATTATTTCTCAATCTCGTGATTATTTCACTCAAAATTACGAAATATTTGTTCAGAACGAATGCAGCACTGTATAAATGTTAATATTTATGCACAATTTATTGCCAAATATGAAAAAATTGCTATCGAAGCAACACCTGTCAGCCCACGTGGCTCGACTAGGTTAGGCAATTTTCACCACCGCACAAATTCACAAAAAAAAATCAACCCAGTGATTTTCAATCCACAAGTGTATTTAATATTACGTACAAGACAGCGGTGCGCAATATTTACGAGACCAACACTCGAAAAAAAACTCTATTCAGGAAGTCCACGTGGATTAACCAGGTTACAAACACGTGGAACTTTAATACCATCCAAAAACACTTACTGCTACAATCCTCGTCGCCAGTTTGTTGTGTTCGTAGGGAATTGTGGTGTAGGGTTACTGCAGTAAGCGTATACAGAGTTATCACAAATTTCTATATTTATCAACTGATACAGAATAGGTGGTGAGTACATACCGAGTGTCCTCGGCTGCTTAAACGCGGTCTGCCTGTGGCAGCGTTAGCCTGAGCGCGCGCACCTTTCTTGCTACGGCAAGAGTACACCCGCTCACACTTACACATACAAACGGTATGCTTCACGCATACACAACACTTTCTATTGATGCGCTTCGACAAGCAAGGCGTCGTCGGCAAATGAAAATATTTTTAACCCAGCCGGTAATTGAATATCGAAAATGGTGTTGTACATGATT